AGTCACATGTGTTGTGTAGGTGGGGTGTAATGGTATGCGCGAGGCAATGCATGAGGTCTTAGGTTCAAGTCCCATGAGGCACAGGAGTGGGAGCTATTATTTTTTTATAGTTACGGAGGACCTTTAGTCCCAAATTCCTTGTCCCGATTGGACGACCCGGAATAAAGGCCCTTGCCAACCGGGATTGAAGCCACGTATTCTACTAGTGATGAGCCCCAGGATTCACGGGACTAAAGGCCCTTGCCAACCGGGATTGAAGCCACGTTTTCTACTAGTGCTGAAACCCTAGCATTAGCTGGTCCGCGGGCATTAGACTGTCGACGTATCCCAACAATATATCTTACGTATCACAACAACATGTCTTCGTTGGTTAGCAAAAAAATGTACAAAACCATGTTGACAGGTGCAAAGTATCATTGCATTGCTTCCTTTTTCTAGTGAAATTTCCAAAACCAAGTTCTATATCTTTGAGAGTTGATGCAGCAGGATTAAAGTTTGTGTATAGACACAGAAGAGGTGAATAAAGGGCCAGGGCCATATTCCTTCTCGCCTTATTAGTTCCTTAGACTTAGATTGAGACCTATCAGACTTCCAAGTCTCAACCGACGAACTTTAAAGATGAAACATAAATTTGATAGGGACTTCTAACACCAGATTTAGCTCAAGTTAAAATTTTTTAATTATTGTACAAGTAGTTTTGCACCATCAACTCAAAATGGGAACGGGGTGAACATAGGTATATGTTAAGTTTAGATCTTCTTTGCATTGTCACAAAACAGAGTCACATAGGTGCGCCCTGATCTAAAAAAAAAACATAGTTTGTAAGTATTTGTTAGTTTGGGAAGTATTGGCCGGGCACATGCATGGCCATAGACCACATTGTAGGTAACTCGACGGCTACCTTTTCCTACACCGAGGAGGGAAACATTTTATACTAAAAAATGGACAACACAAGCTGGCTAGAGCGAGGATAACACACGTGACAGGGTTCACATTTCAAAATTCAGAGAAAAGAAACACATGGACATTGCCTAGTATGGAGCAACTACTCTATTAGCATTAGCTAGTTTTGGTGCTCCACCACGCTTCTATCTATTTGAGGACGAATTTGCTGGCCGACGGTTTCATGTTGCCTCTAATTAGGGTTGGCAATAGAAGCTATAAATACGTGCATTTAATCACAGGGTGACTGCTAGCTCTTGCTAGATTCCATTCTTCGCTGCAAATATTCAAAATGTTCCTCAAGATTTTGTTAGAAAATTTAGGGATAGGGCACCTTTGGAAGGAAGATATAGTCTTTTGACTCCATGCATGGATATAGATGTAAGTACCACTCTATCTATATATGCTGTAAGTGATAGACATGCTTTATCATCATTGAAATGTAGCTGCTGGTATCATGGCTTCGTTCTGGCCTTCTGGGTGCTCTTGCCACAAATGATGGTCCAGAAGCTGCTACCCTAAAATCAGTCATGAGAAAGTGCACTAATTACCCACTTGTGTTTGCATTATTCTCCTAGTCTTGAGATTAAGGCTAATAAGCTATCATTATGATTTTTTATGCTAGGATGTCTAAATTAACAAAAGAAATTCCTTCCCATTAGGGTGCCTCTGTGATCAAAATTTAATACTATTTAGCAAACTATCATGCTCTTACGAGTGATTTGATCAGGCACTGTGTTTAGCATCCATTTCCCATTAAATTATTCAGAGTTGCAGAATAAATGCCTTCCGTAGTTTGTTATTAACAAATAAAGCCCTTCCTCGTAGGAAAGCAACTATAGATGGGGGTACACTCCATCCAAACAGCATGAGACACATGTTACTTGCCTTGGCACACGTGTGGGACCCCAGTGCACAGTACGTACACGTGGCACACCCAACGCTTATTACTACTACTAAAATGATAAAAGTTCGTTTCATGATAAATAATGACCTGGACACACACACACAAAGTGAGCCTATACTAATCATTCCCCAGCATGTTAATCTCATGATTAAATTTGGCCACCCCACTGACCACAAAGTCATCCAGGACCAGGGAACTAAACCCCACCAATTGCATTCCAGAATCCAACACCAAGGGGTGGGGGGGGGATATATTCACCTTCCACCAGTTGTTATTTTACGTGAGTGATGAATCTGCCTCTTGTGTTTCTTTTGGAAACTTGGGGTGGAGTGGATTATCTGTAACAGTTTTTAATAAAAGCAGACTTGTTACAGGTTTCAATAAGCAAACAGGAAGACAAGAAACCAGAAATTCATAAAGGTTGAACCGTGAATCGTGTTTTTTTTTTGTTCGAAGTATATATGGAAGCACTTATGTTACTGGTAAGTAACTTGGTTTAATTAAAATCTCATTTATACCAAAAGTTCCTTTGAACCTTGTACTATGCCGTAGTTGTTGCTCGTGTATATCCAGCGAACAGCAAAGCAGTCAAATTATGTTGGTGGTGGGTTATATATGGAATGGCACTTCAATTGACATGGTCCAGTTTGGCACATGCAGAGATGCTATCCTGTTTTTTCCCCCCCCACAAATTAAACAGAAATTGTACCAAATAGCATGATTCTATAGTAATCTATCAGTAAATAGAATCCAAGACTTTTTTCACTTGCGCTTGCAAAAAGGAAATTCTCACAATCACATCCAAATTTCAACCACCACACCTTTTGTCTCCCATCCAACAAACCCTTGCGCCGCGCACAATCATCCATCTTTTCCACTCTTTTTCCTGAAAAATAGACTTGGCCTCATATATTTTTTTAAGACTTGAATGATCATGAAGACTAGATTTTATATATGTCATGATAGATGCACATGTTCTGGATCTATTATCGTAGACATGGATAAAAATTTTAGATTGCATTTATCAGATAAACCACATGTCAGATTAGGATTGAGAAAAAAATGTGAGGACATAAACCAAAGGTTTTTGTTGAACTACCTCACCACAAGGTTAGATGTTTTTTTAGTTTCGTGCACCCTATAATCCATACCTCCAATAGTTGTTTGAAAACACATGCACGATTTCTTGAGAGGGCATTTATCGGTAACAAATTATTAATATATAGGCTTGCTTGTTTTTTCTAATTTTCTATTTGTGTTTTCCTTTAAAAATCAAAAGCCTAAATTTCTCAGACATCACATTCTAAGAGGTAAGAACATATCCCTTTTGAAAACTTAGGTGGAGTGGATTCTCTTACAGATTCTAGAGCATAGTTGTTAATATGTTAGTCCAAGTGTAGTTTCGTTTGTGTTCCGATGGAGATTCCACTTCAAGAAACAACCGACATGAAACTAGAAATTCACAAAGGTGAAACTGAGAATCAAGCTTTTTTTCTTTCTTATCTCTTTGTATGGAACACCTATTTTATCTTAATGAGAGTAAAAAAACTTATTTAGTGCCATGTAACTCCATGTTTTATGCGTTTAAATCTGAGCCTTGATTTTTTTGTAGTTGTCATGTATTAAGCCAACAACGCAGCACTACAGGTTATGTTATTAATTTGTCTCTTGTCGCACTGGAGTATTGTGTGAATCAAACTCTAGTGGTCGACTGACATCCACTCTTATCGGACATAGTCCAGTTAGGCACATGTTATTTCCTAGTTTTTATGTATCAAACAATAGGATTCTGTAGCAGATTATCAATAAATCGAATCCAAGGCTTTTCATCGGCGTTCCAAAAAGAAGATCCCGCCAATCACATAGAAATTAACCATCACTCCTTTATGTCCCAATCAAACACCTACGCCAGCGCACACTCTCTTTTCCGCCCCTCCCAGTAAAATAGGCACATTTTTTTATGCTAGGATGTATAATAGAATATAGTTATTATTAGTTAATAGAATTTTGAGTAATTAACATCCCATTATATTAGCTAACCGATATTGCTAATGTTCTATTTGTGTTTTCCTTTAAAATCAAAAGCCTAACTTTCTTAAACATCACATTCTAAGAGGTATGAACATATCCTTTTTGAAAACTTGGGTGGAGTGGATTCTCTTACAGATTCTAGAGCAGAGTTGTTAACACTTTAGCCCATTGTAGTTTCTTGTCTTTCGGTGGATATTCCAATCAACAAATGGCCGACACAAAACCAGAAATTCACGAGGTGAGACTGAGAATCAAATTTTTTCTTTCATATCTCTATGTATGGAAACACGTATTTTATCTTATTTTTTTTTTCTAGAACATGACTTCATGTGCATATTTTATCTTAATGAAAAAAGAAACACTTTTTTTATTGAAATGTAAAGGTTTTATGGGTTTAAAATTTGAGTCTTGCATTTTGTTGTTGCAATACAGATGATGATGTTTGTTGGTCTCTTGTTATATTGGAGTATATAGAGTTGTATGTAGGAATCAAACTCTAGTGGTCGAGTGATGTCCATCCTTACTGGACACGGTCTAATTTGACACATGTTATTTCTCGTTTTTTCACAGGTCAAGCGGCCAGATTCTACAACAGTAGATTGTCGATAAACAGAATCCAAGACTTTTCATTGGCTCTTCCAAAAAGCAGATTCCGACAATCACACAAAAATTAACCACCACCGCTTTATCTCCCAACCAAACACCCGTGCCGGTGCCGTGCACACTCCCTCTTTTCTGCCCCTCCTTGTAAAAATAGCCCTAGTCCCAGAATTTTTTTTCTAGTGCAAAAAAGTCCTGAATTGCCACGGAGCAATTCTCGTTTGATTACTTTAAGAACAACTACAACAACTGGTCACATCCTTCAAAAACTCTTCCCCTCCCCTGCATCTGCATCGGGTCGGAGGAAGAGAGGAGGCGGCCATCACCATGTTATTCGTCCTGCCCTACCACTGCCATCATACCATCAGTACCAGCAGTCTCCCTCTCGCCTAATGGCCGGAACACGATGTCCTCCTCCGAGAAGCACTCGCTTCTTCTACTGCTGCTGCTTCTGCTGGCCAGAGGACCGTGCCCCATGCCCCCATCCTATGCATGCTCCCGGCACCTCAAGGTCAGCCGGTCAGGGCTGCGCCGCTTTGCATGCCCCCGCCGCGACGGCCTCCCCTACGCTGAAGAAGAGGCGGTCCGACCCGAAGGTCTCCCCCACCGCCGAGTTGAAAATCCTCTCCGCCACCGACCCCAACGGGTTGGCAAGCACCAGCTGCACGCATGCGGCAAAATTCAGTCATTTCATTTGGCAATCCAAATCGATGAACAGGTATATATGTAGCAACATCAGCCAGCAGCTGTATATGCATGTGTACCTCGATGTGTCTTTTGTCCAGGACTTTCTTCAGCTCCGACAGCGCGTCCAGACCGCTCGTGTCGATCGCCGTGACGGCTGCAAGAATCGAACAAGATTCGATCACATGATGACATGAAGCGAGTAAACTTAATGTAACTAAAGTTCCATGGCGCTAGCTAGCGAGCTAGCTCACCGCTCATGTCGAGGACGACGCATCGGATGGAGGGGAGGTTGGACTTGAGCGCGCGCTCCTCCTCGTCGCGGAGGTACCGCAAGACCCGCTCCACCAGGTACATGGAGTTGGCGAAGTAGATCGCCGACTCGACGCCGACGACGAGGAACGCCGGCACGCGGACGGCCTCCCGGTACTGCGCCACGCTGCGGTAGCTCTGCGTGCCGGGGACCAGCCCTTCCACGACCAGGTTCGGCCGCGTCACCTGCAGCAGGATCTTGAACAGCGAGATGCCGACGGCGACGGCGAGGCCCATCTGTACGGACACCAGGAGCACGCCAAGGAAGGCCGACACGCACGCCAGGAAGTCCAGCTTGTCCACCTTCCACAGCTTGGCGGCGCCGCGCACGTCGATCAGCCCTATCACCGCCGTGATGATGATCGCCGACAGGATCACGTTCGGGGTGTAGTGGAACAGCGGCATCAGGAACAGCAGCGTCACCAGCACCATCGCCGCCATCACGATGTTGGACACTGCCGTCTTGCAGCCCGCGCTGTAGCTCACCGCCGACCGGGAGAAGGAGCCCGTCGTCACGTAGCAGGAGGTGCAGGAGCCGGCCATGTTCATGATCCCGATCGCCATCATCTCCTTGTTCCCGTCAACCTGGTAGTTGTTGATGGATGCGAAGGTCCTGCCCACTGCAATCCCTTCCTGCATTTTTTTTTTCATTTTATTTTCGAAATAACAAATCTCCTTCAGCTAGCTGGGTCAAAATCTAAACTTTCATGCATTTTGAAATCAAAATCACAAATTCACATCGCTGCAGTGCAGTTTCATGGAAATTTGTCTTACAGTTAAGGACAATATGCCTGTCATGATCCCTGTTTTGATCGCCAGCGCCACGTAGTAGCCGCTGAAGGTGAGCATGTTCGCTGAAGGAGGGTTCACTCCCCTGGGGAGGATGCCAATCTGTGTTTTTGCAGAAAGTGAAACAATATTTTAAGAAGAAGATATTTACAGATGAAGCAACGAATAATGATTTGTTTTTGTTTCTTAGATTTGAGGTCCGAAGGGAACTGATTCAGATTGGCTATACTGAAGATACTTACAACACTGATGGTGGGGGATTTCCAGATGTAGGAGAGGATGGTGGAGATGATAACTGACGCCAGGGGAGCACCTGCTGCTACCAAGAAAAGCTTTGGATTCCTTTTGCTCTGAAAAAAATATACAGTGAACAAAATTAGCGGTTGATAAGTTTGTCTATCATTCATTCATTGCTTTTATAATCTCAAACAAGACAAAATAGATAGATTTGTGTACTGTAAATTACTAGTAGATACAAGAACTTTAGGAGTATAAATAAATAAAATTATGTAAAAAGCTGTTGATTTTGGAGGCACTGATTTTTGAAGATTTCTCAGGCATGGCCCCAGCAGAGTGGAATTCTCAGACTGACACTTTTTTTAAGCATATCATACCAAGTGACAAGGAGCAGCGTCCTTCTTAAGCAATTTTATCTGCAGCTAGCTAAAGAGTGATGAAACTATAGCCACTTGTCATGAGTGATGCCGAATCATTTACAGTCTCAACTCTTATGGAAGTGCTTGTTAATCCTTTTCTGGAGATATTGGTGACATATCATGCACAGATGGCCATGGCCAACTTGCTGCATATTAGCAGGTGACACATCAGAAGCCAAATCAGACGCATTCTCCCCAAAAAGGGCATTGGGCGAGGTTCCACTGGTGCATTGTCAGAATAGATTCTAAAGCCACAAGCACACGTCTTACTCTATCTGATCCATGTGGTTTAGCCATGTGAATGCTTGCTAACATTCTATCTACACACACAATTGGTACTTGCAAGTTCACACCAGACTATATATATTCAAGCAAAGATTTTTTTCTCGATCGGGCATATTGCCCGTTTTTCATTAAGAGGCTATTCAAGCAAAGTGCTGCTTCAAAATACATGTGTGCGCTTCAGGCCTTCAGCAATATATGCTTTGTTCTTGTTTACTTAAAGAAAACAGTGGTGCTTTTCATTTTAAAATAAAAAGAAAAGAAAATGATGCTTTAAACTATCCCCAATTCATAAATACACAACCTTAAAGAGGAAACACTTTTTGGCACCATGTTTCAGTCCATTGATAGCTAGCTTGGAAGATTAGGCCTGGGTGAGGACAACTTTTCTTGGCATACCAACTGTTTAGTCGAGTCAAGTAACTCTGAACCATTTTTCTTTAAGTAACTGCATAGAGGACAACTAGCTTGGATAACTAACTGAAACCGTTCAAAAGATCCTAAGGGAACTAGGCCATGCTGATTTTTGTTATAGAAAATACTTCTTTTGCTGCGACAATGTGTTGAACTTAGGGATTCTATTTGCAATAAGGTAAATGGATTGAAAGGAGTTCCTTTTATTTTTGGGTGGGGGTGGGGGTGTGAGGAGATGTGAACAGTACTAGGTCCCAAGAAGCAGGAGCTGGCTCTTAATTAATTACCCCCATGAATTATTGGACATTTCTTAAACTATATATGCAGTGGAGTCAAAAATTCCTTGTTAGTGGTGGGCACCATTGGGTCCCTCCATGAACTCAGGGTTTGAATCACCACCTTCCCTTTTTGCAGCCCCATCATCTTTCCTAGAAGCTAAGCTAAGCTACCTGTCCATCCAAACGCCATGGTCAGAAAAATCGTAGAGAATTTTGCCGACTGATGATTAACCAATCAATCTAACTGCATCAGGCCTTTAGCAATTCTTTTTAATTTAATGAAGAAAAGAAAAGTGACAGAGATCAGATTTTACCCGGTTTAGTTTACACCGGTCGGTGTCGCGGGAGAAATGCGAAACCACTTGTACAAACGGTCCGTGTCACATTTTGTATGTGCGGCTACTGTTACTCTAGCTAGCTTAGTTGTTTAATCTTAGCAATTTCATCTTTGCCTTTGTTCTTTGATGAGGATTGTGATAACTAATCATATGGAAATGGAATCCGGTACATGGTTCCGAAGAAATATACATGGTAAAGGCGAAGAATGAATACTCATACTCAAATGATTAGAGAGCTTACGATTTGGCGTGTGAGGAGGAGGATGGCGAGGAAGGCGGTGCCCATGACGATCGTCTGCCATTTCCACTGCATCCATCGTCGTCGTCACGAGCAATTGTGAGAACGAGGATGATTTGTTGCGTAGCTGGTCAATTTTATACCAGACGCAGACAGTCTTGCTGCTCTGTCATTGCCGGCCGGCCGGATCACGATCGGCAGGCGACGACAGAGCAGTCGAACAGAGCAGGAGCACGTACCTCGTCGTGGCGGTTGACGACGGAGCGCATGACGTCGACGAAGCCCATGTGGGAGGTGAAGTGGACGATGCCGAGCAGGCTCTTGAGCTGCTGCAGCGACACGATGACGGCGGCGCCGCCCATGAAGCCCGTCAGCGTCGGCTTGGACAGGAAGTCGACGATGAAGCCCAGCCTGCGATGCCAATGCATGGACGGAAGCGCATGCGTGATGAGCTGCTCTGCCGCGCCCGGCCGATCGAGATCTCCGGCGGCTAGCGCCAGTCAATGGAACAGTGTTAGTGCAGAATGGCACCTGAGGAATCCCAGGGACGCCTGTAAGGCGCCGGCGAAGAAGGTGGCGGTGAAGGCCAGCTGCAGGTACAGGATGGGCTGCTCGTCCGGAGACACGGCCTCCCGGAGCATGGACCCCATCACCAGCGACGCGACGGAGACCGGCCCCACCGCCAGGTCCCGCGAGCTCCCCAGCAGCGAGTAGATGAGCGGCGGCACGAAGCTGGAATCTGCTTGCAATTGCATGCATGCACCAAATCGGTGCCCAACAAGGTTATTACTGGAGTTGCAGATTCATTCATCAAGACAACCTGCTGCAGAGATTGAGATTTCTCCTACGAATTTGCAGGCAGGAGCAGGAGCAGGAAGAAACTCACATAGGCCAATGATCGGCGGCAGGTTGGCGAGCTTGGCGTAGCTGATTCCCTGCACGGCGACGGCAACCGTGTTAGAGATAGTTATTGCGTTCTGGGCCGTGCCATAAAAAACCGTGCCAAAAGTAGCTAGGAAATGAATGAAGGCGAGGGAGGGAGGGGAGGAGAAGCAGGGGAAAGCAGAGCACGTGCCTGCGGGATGGCGAGGCTGGCAATGGTGAGGCCGGCGATGAGGTCGGAGCGGAGGAGACTGGGGCTGTAGGCGGACCCCCACTGGAAGACGGGGAAGAAGTACTGCAGCGCCAGCACCAGGCGCCGCGCCGCCGACTGGTTCTTGAACTGGTGCAGCGGGTCGTCGGGGAAGAACACCTCGGCGAGGCGTTGCCGCAGCGCCTTCGCCGTCGTCCGCCGCTCCGGCACCGACACCTTGTGCAGCTCCAGCACCGACGCCGACGCGGTGCCCTGCCACGTCACGGGCGCGGCGGGATGAGCCGGCGCCGGCGACGACGACGCCGGAGGTGGCGCTGCCGCCGCCGCCGCCGCCGCCGCCGCCGCCGAGGCAGCGGGCGGCGGCGCCTCGACGTCGTACGACAGGCTGTCCACCTTGTTGTTCACGACCATGCTGGTTGGCTGCTGGTCAATCGCTGCTAGCTGGTCGATGGCGTGCGTGGTCCCCGTCGGTTATCGCCGGCAAGGGCGGGCGGCGACCGACGCGCGCGCGCGTGGCGGTCGGCCTTGTCGATTTGGGCTTTTAATTCGTGCCCTCGCTTCCGTGCTGCAACGGCAGGGGAGTGAAGAGAGAGGGAGGAAGGTGTTTTGTTGTTGGCTTGCTGGATGGATTCTTGCGGAGAAGGAGGAGGCCGCGGCACCTTTTATAGGGAGGGAGCCGGGAGCGAGAGGCCGGAGGCACATGGATGCATGGTGTTTAATGGACTACTGTGGATTAACTTGGTGGATTTGTTTCGTCTCTTAATTCTAGGGAGTGTTTAGTTATCTGTCGACAGATTTATGTGGCCAAATCTATCAGATTTTTTTATAAATATGATACAGTAGACAGTTATATCATAAATCATAAAGCACGATCAGACGTATAGAAATCTGTCAGATTTAGTACCAAACAAATATGTCAATAGATAAATAGCAAAAGTCTTCTTGTTAATCGATATAGATGGTACTGTATAAGCCAAGTAGGTTGTGATGGGCTGACTCCACTTTTGAAGATGTTTGGTCTAGAGACTCAAGATGCGGGTTTAAACGGTTACTCAAAATCGAGCGGACCGAACCAACCCACTTCGGGCTGCACGGGCCATCGTGTTCACATGTGTAGGCCGACCCAATGGCCATTTGCGCATGCAAGCTAGTATGAGGGTGGCAGGCGCAGGTGATTCGCAATGCTCGAGTTGAGGAGGGCGTATGTAAGCAAGCGAGTTGGAGCGTAGGGCATCAACAGACTAGGTGAGCTAGAGCGTGGGTGGCAGTGTTATAGATTAAGATGTCGGAAAGGAGAAGAAAGCGTAGATGACATGTGAGCCTCATTTGCCGGTACCTCATTCCATCATCTGTTTACCCGTAACCAAACAAAAAGTAAGAAAAGCTACAATCCTCAATCAAAATAACGATGGGTCAACCCTATTAGAAGAAGAAACTAAGTTTGACCAACCCATTCCATATAGGCCCCGTTCGCTTGTCTTATGAGCCATACTTTTTCATTGAACGAACAGTGTTTTTCTCTCACAACAAATCAACCAACGGTACTTTTCAGCCTAGCTTATCAGTCAAACGAACAGGGCCTATAGTCCCGAAACCAAACATGCTAAGATTTCTTAGGTACTTTCTTAGTTTTCACTATTTGTCCATAGATCAATTGTCCACATTCATAAGGGAGGCATTAATAAGAAATAAAAAACAATTGAGGGTATATCCTCATTAAATAAAACATTAATTAATTAAGGAACAAAGAGTGGATGACGGGTCTGTTCGCTTGAACTTATCAGCCGGCTTATCAGATAGAATATACAGTATTTTTCTCTCACAACAAATCAGCCTAGGCCGGCTTACAACAACTATACTCTTTGACTTCTTTGGTGGTCAAATATTTTAAAATAGATTCTCCTGAGGCCTTGGACAAGCATGGTTAAACAAGAGAGCAAGGGTAATCGTGTCCTCTTCAATCTAACCCTAAGATGACTATCATTTTACCTTTCTCTTTTTCTTAATGCTAATTTTATTTCCTCCCTTCGCTTAAATCCTTTTTTTTCTAAACAAATGAATCGCCTAAGATTAGTAAAAAAAAAAAAATCAAACTATCTACAGTGGCGCGCGCACACGCTCTCTACCGGTAACTTGTCCATTTGGCACAACGACAACAAAACAATACCGCTTAAGTTCAGTGGTCAACTCCCTCACAAATAACAAGTTCATCCGTCAACTATCAAAGATAGAATCAGTAGTTGACTGTACGCTGCATTTATCACTAACTGTGGTAGGTAGGTCTAATGAGTATTAGGCCTACCTGAATAACAAAGGCAGATATAAATTGATTGCAGATGATCTCGTTCCAGCAAGAACTGGTTCATTATGCTTCTCCCGCTTCTATATAGATATGGAAGAGCCCTCCTAATATATTCATATTTTGTTCGTCTGTTGCTCCTTGAAACCACACATGGCATGACCATAAAATTCAGAGTTTTTTTCCTTGAATTACAGTACAAATAGATACAGATGTTCACATACATATATTACTAACAACGGTATTCCTAGCGTCCATCCGGACGCAGTTCCCGCGCGCGCCTGACGAATACAACTCCAATTAACCACGCGTCCATCCTACTCCGGAGGCAGCGTTCGTCCATCCTGGAGCTCCCGCGCCCGTGCCCTGACGGACGTAGCTCCCTTGCCAGCTCCCCATCCCGGCCGATCCGCTGCGGCATCCCGTCCCCAGAGCTACTGTCTTCCCGGCCTTCATCTTCGCCACATCAGGAAGCCACATCAGCTGGACCACCGAGGGCTTAGGCTTCCTCCACACGTATATCCAGATCTACTTTTGCAACACTCAGACGAAATAATTACAACATACCACGGAAACAGATAAAACATTCGGAACATATACTTGCAACATAGCTATTTGCAACATTCAGGTAAAACATTTGCAACATACGTTCTGAAATAGATGAAACACTTGAAATATGCTCTTGAAATATGCTCTTGAAACATGCGTGTATAACCAAAGCAACATATGCAACATCCAGATCTATTTTTACAACATTCAAATGAAATACTTGCAACATAGGTCTGAAAAACATCTGAAACATTTGAAACATACGCTTGAACATGCATGTATAGCCATAGCAACATATGCAACATCAAGATGAAACACTTGAAACATACGTCTAAAACAACTGAAACACTTGAAACATAGCCTTGCAACATGTCCGAAAACGCCTAGAACATTTGAAACACAGCGTCACCGGTGGCCACAACCTACCTAGCGAGAAACTGCGGTGGCACATGCGTCCCCTTCCTGCCGACAGCGCGAGGTGGATGGGGACGCAGGCGCATGCCACTCCAGGCATTGCGCAGCCCTCCCCTTGCGCGATGGGTAAGGTGGATGAAGGCGCGGCACGTGATGGTGGCACGGCGCTGGGCACGGAGCAGTGCAGGATGGGGCTGCGCCGCCGCACTGGAGAAGGTTGCGGTGGGCGGAGGCGCCGCCCGTGGCGAGCAACCCCTGCGATGGAGAAGATGAGCGGCACTAGTTTTTTTTTGGAGGAGCCGTTAAGGACTGAAGCTGAAAGCGGAGCGGAATGGGACGAGTGGCGTCGCGGGCAGGAGCGAGCCGTGGGGAAAGACAACAGCAAGGAGGTTGTGTGGGTGCGCCGCGTCTGGATAAGGACGGACGCTCGTGTCAGAGTATTATCCTACTAACAAGTAAATTTACACGAGACTATACCCTGTCTATTTTGTTAGACATAAAAACATGCCATGATTGATAAATCGTAGCCTTACCATTGTGGAATTCCTGACGATTGTTGGTCGGCTTCTTTTTATTTTCCCAATTCGAATCTACGTAACAGTAGACAGTAGTAAAATGTAAAAAAAAACATCTCTCTGCTCTACTAGCAGTGAATCTGTCTCGAATCCAGTGCCACCCCTAGTTAGTAAAAAAAGAAGCAGCAGATTCACCACTCATGTAAAAAGAAAGGAAGAAACTCCTGGTGGAAGGTGAATACCTTTTGGTATTTGGCTCTTTGATGGATGCTGGATGATGGAACGGCTGCCCGCAATTGGTGGGGTAAGTTCGCTGCATCACTTTGTGCTCATATGCTCAGTGGGGTGCCCAATTTTAACGGTCGTGTATATCCATCCGGTGACCATGATTAACTTTGATTCGTCACAAAAAAAAAACCATGATTAACTTTTTTTCTGTGACTGTGACCATGAGTAGCTATGAGCGCAGCTTTTTGTTTAGTGAGAAAGCATGCAGTAGGGGAATGATAGATTCCAGGGCGGCGTGTCCGTGTGCCACGTGTGAATTGGTGGGCCCACATTTGTGGCGACTGGCGAGGCAAGTAACATGTGTAGGCTTTAGGAGTTAGGAATAGGAATGATGTTTGGAGCACACCCATGCTTGACCCATACATGATTACTTTGGGAAAGGGTTGTGTTATTTTAACTAAAAAGAAGCAAATGAAGGCATTCATTCCTTATCTCCAAATATGATGCTAAAATATTGGCAGATGGATTATATTTACTCAAGATAGCTTGATATCTACTTGTTGTGCTGATTAATCAGGAGATCATTTGTTTAGTAATCTATTATCAATCGATCCATTTAACTTATTTGGCAGTGGGAAAAATCCTCAAACCTGGATATGACATTGATGTGTCCATGACATGAGTGAAATTGCAGTGACGACGTGTTAAGGATTATGCCTATTGGTTGCTTTGCTAGCATTATTATTGGAGTCGAAGGTATATATGGCACAAATGTTTTTATATACAGTAACGAGTAAGATTATCTTAAGTAGAATCTATGGCAGCGGAATGCAAAGCTATCACTATAAACTTAAGCTGAACATGCCACACCACACCAGTGGAGAGTCGTAATTGTTTGTTACTTTGTTCGGTGCAATGCTACTTACTACACTTTCACATTTTTGGAGAAATGTTGAGCTAGCTAGTACCTTCTGAACCGTCAGTTGTGACATGAGCACCAAGAGCCATTGATACCAACTGCTAACATTTCAATGACAAGGCACATCTATAGCACTTCCACTTACCGCATGGAGTGGAACTTCCAATTATCCATCCTTGGAGTCAATAGCCTATATACCTTCAATTCCTTTCAAAGGTGACCCCTATGTACCTACTGTCCTACATTTTCTTGCAAACGTTTGAGGAACATTTTGAATGAAGGTAAGGAAAGATGCATGGCCACCTTAGTGGATGACCATGTGAAATGCATACACATATATAGCGCCTATCGTTGGGTTGGCAGGCCTAATCGGGGTGATCGAGGATGTGATATTAGAGGCCAATTTGGCAACATGAAACTGTCGGCCAGCAAATGTATTGACCCGGGTTGTAGACTTGCTGCATCCGGACACGGGGAGATGGGATGA